GGGTTGGGGCCACCTACCTCGGGGGTGACATGGATGGTCCAGTAGGATTTGCCCAGCATGCCGTTCATCGAGTAGCCGCACGGAGAGAACAGATACTCGTGCAGCAGAGAACCGGGCAGCAGCCCCTGTATGTACACACATCGGTACACACACGTGTGTGGGAGGGAGTGCTGTCCTCCCTCCCTGGCTCACTCACTGACCGCAATGCCGGTGGTCTCCGTGACATGTCTGGCGTCCTTGTCGCCCGTCTGGTTGAAGAACGGCCGCAGCGCGTCGCTGTCACACTCGTGCATCATTATCTACACACACACACACACACACACACGTGGGCCCACTGGTGTGCGTCTCTGTGTGTTGGTTGTCCGCTGCTGCTTCACGTCACGCACCTCGAGGGTCTGCTCGGCCTCTGTGTAGGGGGGCTGCGAGTTGTCCGCTATGTACAGGTACCTGCACACGCCACACCACACACATAGACAGAGATGCACACCACCACCACGTGTGCAGTCAGTCGGGCGGCGCACCCACCAGTGGTCGCCCTTGGGTGGTCCGATGATGAACCCCTCTCCGTTGTCGAAGAACTGGTTGATGAACTCCTCCTCCTTGTGGGGATCGCCGTGCGGACAGATCTGCTGCTCGGGCCACAGCAGATTCTTACGGCGATACAGAATGAATATCGCCGACAGACCTGCCAACCAACCAACCACACCGTATCTCTCTCTCTCTCTCTCTGCGAGCGTGTGTGTGTGTGTGTGTGTGGTCGGTGCACCGACCGTCTTTCTTGGCCGTGTCAAGTACGTCTGGCAGCATCTCGAGCAGTGTGGTGCGGCCACATGTCTTGACGATGAGCTGGTGGCGGTAGACGAACAGGGAGCTTTCCGAGAGGATGTAGGCGTCCATGGCCTCGTTGGACGTCACATCCAGGATGGCGCACCGCGCCAGCGACAACAGGTGATCCCACACGGAACGAGACCAACCTGTGGGAGAGAAACACAGACATATGCTGCTGCACGTACTCTCTCTCTTCGTGTGCATGTGCTGTGATGGTGCTCACGTCTGAGACCGAGTGCGTCGTCCTCAGCGACTTCAAACTCCAACTCCAGCGCCTTCTCCGCGCCCTCAAACCCCTCCACATCATCCACACCACTCAGTGATCCCATCACACCCACGCCGCGCCTCACACACGGACAGATCCCTTCGTTCTTCTCGCTTTGCTGCTGCTGGTGGTGCCGCTAGCTGATGCCCCTTGTGGAGCGGTGGACGCCGCCGACGAGCTGAGTCCGCACAATCACGACAGTGTCTTCTTCTGCTGCTGCCGGCACGCTGCAACAAGGGCTGGGTGGCGGGCCAGACGGACCCATGCAGGTCTTGGATTGGGAGATCTACGCTCGGATCAGACGGCTCAGATCGGGAGAAGCAAAACGCTCTATGAACGGCTGGGATATGAAATGTGTCAGGCTCCCCCAGCGATTTCCGATTGCGAGCTTGAGTGGATCGCCGCGCCCCTCGACAAAAGCCCGTTTCCGTGATGTTTGCAAAGAAGCGCAAGGCGGAGGAGCCGCCGGAGTCGCCTGCGGACGACAGCGATGAGTTTGAGCCGCTCCCCTTCATCGGGAGGGCATCAGTCGATGCGCTGTTGAAGGAGGCCGACGAGGCACTCGCCGCCATCGAGCAGTCGGCCAAACAGATGCGCAAGAAGCTGCGGCAGCAAGCCAAGACGATCAAGGACCTGATAACGAGCAGCGGAGGGCAGCCGAGGGTGACGGGCCCGTTGAGTGAGGAGATTGAGATCAACGTGGGCGGGACGGTGCTGTGTGTGCCGCGCAAGCCGCTGCTGCTGCCCGGCGTGAGTGAGAGCATCATCGCCTATCTGCTGCTGCACCACCTGGATGGGCTGCCCAAGGACACAGAGGGCCGCCCATTCCTCGACGCTGACCAAATCTACATGAAGTGGTCAGCCAACCAGCAGAGAGAAAGGCGGAGGGAGGCACACCAAGCTCACATAGAGTGCCTGCTGTTGTTTGCCTTTGTCAGGCTGCGTGATGAGATTACCAATGTCGGCATGGCTGATGCGCAGGGCGAGAGCCACGAGATCCTCCTGACCCCTCCACACGACACCGACGTGTCGTCCCTCTTCTGGCACCATCTCCTCTTCACTTCCAAGAGTGGCCTCGACTCGACATCCCCACAGACACGGCCCCGCACAGCGACGATGACGACCACATGGAGGTGGACAACCAACAGCAGCAGCAGCAGGATGGCGAGGAGGACGATGATGCGGACGGGGAGCAGGGGGGTAGCGACCACATGGCAGCCCTCAGCAGCAGCACTGCAAGCCTGGATGCGTCAGTGGGGCGGCTGGGCGAGGTGCAGCGGGGCCTGCTCAACTTCCACAAGCTTGTCAAGCCGCTGCTGGCGACTGAGGGGGGGCAGGGAGGGGAGGGCGATGAGATAAGGAGTGTGCGCGTCCTGGGCGAGACGGTGTCGACCACCGAGGCCACACTGGCGCGTGTTGGCCGCGACAAACGACTCTACACGACGTTCCACAGGTGGGTCACACAACATCAAACAGATGGGAGAGGCACAATCGTCATGTCTGTGTCCTTCTCTTGTGTCTGCAGTGGTGCGCCTGTGAGTTCCATCCGCCCTGACCATCTCATGAAGGCCATCGACTTCGCCCGTCGCCGTCGCATCGCGCCGCTCGGCACTTTGGTGAGGCCGCCGACGGCCCCCAACGCCAAGCAGATTCGGACGGACACCGAGATGTATGGGCTGAAGTACGAGCCCTTCTTCAGCGGCGTGGCGGGGGGCGGCTTCGTCATCGAGACCGACGACGAGATGGCGGAGCTGCTCAACATGACGGGCAAGACCTCGCCAATGCCGTCACTCTTATACAAGTCAGCGAGCCTCACACACAAAGACAGCAGCGAGAGGGCCTTGAAAGACCTGCCTCCGGGTGTGTGTGTGTGTGTGTGTCTGACGTGTGTCTGTCAGGGGCAGTCGTGACACGTATGAGTTCCCCAAGATGCTCGAGTGTGTGGCCGGCAAGAGCGGCCTGCTCTTCGCCCTCCGAGACGGCGACACACACCGATTCGGATGCTTCATCGACGGCCCACTCGATCCGCCCGAGGACCCCACCAAGACCAACAAATACAAGGCGCCCGTCTTCTTCTTTTCGCTGTCGGGGGCGTACGAGACGCCGACCAAGATCGAACTGCCGGGGGGCAGGCATTGGGTGGAGGTGGCCGGCAGACAGGGGGTAGTGACGAGCAAGGGCGAGCCGATCGGCAATGTGAGCATCGCCCGCGGGTATCTCTGGCTGGGTTTCGCTCAGCCTGGTCCTGCGTCCGACCTCAGCAGCTGCCATCAGTGGATCAAGAGGGATGAGCTGTCGGAGGGATACAAGGGGACGGTCAATCACAACGGCGACGGCACTTTGGCGCAGTCCGCGACCTTCACGTGCGATGAGATGGAGATCTGGCAGGTGAGTGGCCGTCACCGCACACTCATCTGTGTGAGTGTCGATCCGCGTGTCTGTGGCTGGATGGTTGGATGGATGGATGTGCAGATTGCCACTGGCTGACCATACTTGACGTCGACGACCCCATGCGAGCGGGCGCAGCAGGTATACAAAACAGCGAGGCGCTGTTCAGCTGATAGCGAGGCGCTTCTCTCTTCTTAGTCTGTGTTGGGTGTGGTTCAGGTGGCGGATGTGTTGAGGTGATCGCACAGAGCAGAGCAGAGGTCCAACCGCTCTCTCAAAGTTGTCACATGCCATTCTTTGACGGACTGACTGTATGGATCTTTCTGCATGTCTACGGTGCATGAGCTGACGACCCATTCATTCGTCCGTTCGTGCCGTGTCATGACGACATGCATGTCTGTCTGTCTGTCTGGCCATCAACCCATGTACAGCCATCCAATTATACACCCCTCGACTCATTGATTTGTGGACGGTGTGGCATGTCAAACAATGCATGCATGCAATGGCTGATCTATACACCCACACACGTGAGGTATCCATCGCCATCTGTCCATCCATCCATCCATCCGTCCATGCATGGACTCCTTGACGCACCAGCCACAGCCCCCCTCTCATCCTCATCCGGTCCAACTGGGGCACACACATGTATGACCGCATGAGCCCATCCATCGATAATGTATATATGTACCTCTGTATACACACACGTTCATATCATCAATGAACAGATCCACAACAATTTGAAATTGAGCGGTTCTGTAGAATTCCCGCTTATGTATACTATGTCTGTACATGACTGTGTTGCCGAAAAACGCTGAAGGCTTCACGGCCAGAGCGCCGGACGGCCAGAATTTTCCGCGAGGAGACAACTCATTCACTTCCTGACATTTAAGGCAGAGGGATTTTGAGAGAATGTCTCGCTGTCGCTGTAGGGCTTGACGCAATGAGGCGGCTGTATCCCATTGATTCACTCACCGCAAATCATGTTCACACGTCATTTCTCCGAGTAAGTGTGTAAATGCGAGTGTACTTGGCATATCAATCATCCCGATCACGCGTGCGCTCGGACGAAAAGACAGACATCCGTGTACGCATCCAATATGAATGCGTAATGCAACGCATTGCTGGATTCCTTACAGACAGCCATATGTAAGCCAAAACTCAAAGCAGATGCCAACATCTCCCTCGCTCACCGCACGTTAAATCGCTGACACACGTCCAAAACGTCGTCCATGCCCCTCAGCTGGCGAGCTATCCGTCTCCATCTTTCCTGTCAAAAGCTCTCGTAGGCTATATAGGGACACAATTCAACCATACGGATATCGCCATAGACGGTCGGCTGCAGGCCACGAAGCAGAAAGAGGATGATGTAGGGTGTACACGAACATGCGAAGAGGGTGCACGCGGCAAACAAGGTGAACAGTCTGCATTTCTTTACACCAGGCTCATCCTCGCATCGCAAAACAGGCAGGTTGTGCAGCCGCACTGCCACCTAGACACATAAGATACACACGCATACACACACGAATGGGAGATGCAGACTGTGTGGAATGTCCCCTGTGTCTCTCTCCCGTCTCCCTCTCACTAGCCAGGACTGGCACCCACCATAAACAGGACGACTTCGCATGCCATCTCGATGGCGACCAGGAGACACAGCCCGCCCAGCCTCTCGAACAGCCGGGGCAGCGAGGGAGACAGCAGCTGCTCCATCAACATCAACGACAGATTGATGAATATGAGAACCACGCTTTCGGCTTGGTTGTAGGCATGGGTTTGGTCCGCCAACGCACGAAGGTACCTCGGACGGACGTCATAGGCCATGAAATTGCTCTGCAGATCGACCACGGACGCCATGGATGACAGCCCGCTTGATCTTGACTGCATGCGGCCTGCCCGCATCACACTCTGATAGATCTCACTCGACGATCGCCGCGGCTCTCCTTTGGCCGCACGGCTCTTGGATGCTCCGGTACTAATTGTCTCGCTGCTGCCGGCCCGGGACTCAGCAACGTGCTGCGAGCGGCCTTTGATCGCGTTGAAGGCCCCTGTCTTGTGTGCCGGCTTGGCTGATTGGTTGTCACGTGTCCGCTTGAGTATTCGGATGATCTTGGCGTGGAGCATGTCAGCATAGGGCACCGCCAGATCGCCAAGAAGATCGTAGAGGGCGAATAAGAAAGACGATATAATTTTGCTGCTAAGATTCACCATCTTCGCCTGCAAAAACATGCGGTGGATAGAAAGGTAAAGACCAGCACAAAAACCTTGATGCACACTCATACGTCATCCGGCTGCGTGACCTGTAGGAGCCGAGGCACGACGAGCGAGCCGAGACACTGACAACCACACTTTCGTGACATGAAAATCTTTCTCTCTCTATGTATATGTGACGTGTACAAGGTAGTAAATGACGCTGTAATTGTAGAGCGGCGGCCCATCTTTCATCTTTCGCATACTCCCATTCACCACGGCCACCAACGGCCAACAGGCCAGGAGACATGTGAACGCCACTCGGGCCCTCGCGGTGTCTGTCGCCGCCCTCTCACCTCTCGGGAGGAATATGCCAACCCAGAAAAATTGGCCCACAACCGAAACACTCAGGATGAACATCATTTGCAGTACGTACAGCCATCGCCTCTTAACCACATTGGGCATGTCTCTTGTTGCTTGCCAGAAGAATCCAAGGGGTGTCAGGATCCCCAAGCCCACGTGTCCCAGTCTGTAGGTGACAGACGTGACGAGACAGGAAACATGCGTTTGTTTTCAGCCTCAATGCTCCCGAGGTGCCTCCTTGCGTGTCTCACTCACGACAGAAAAATGAGGGCATACGGCCGAAGTCGATGCTCCAGGTACAAAGCGTTGAATGCAAAATAGCATACTGCACTCGTCGTGCATCCATCCATTCATCCATCCATCCATTCATGGTCGTCATTCCTTCGTGTGTGTATGGATGTGTGGGGAGGAGTGTGCATGCACCTGGAAACAGCACGAAATGGTGCCACGTTCTCTGGAGCCGGCGAAATAATCTCTCAAGGCGGTGTCCCTCAATCATCGCGAGGTACCATACGATGATGGATGAGGAGCCAATAAAAGTCCTGACGTAGTCTAGCATGATCTGTAATGCTTTTGCCTCAGATTCGCAGGTGCGCCAAAGGGCGAGCGGCATGGGTATCTGTGCATGTTGTACAAGAAGCGATGAATCGGACCCCTTCCATCCGTCTTCTTTCTAGAGAGTATAGCTCACCATTGACAACGCCAAGACACTGGCATACAGCACTTGTAGCAGGACCAAACACACCACTCGCCGCAATGACCGCATGAATGGCTCAGGCGTAAACCGAGTGCCGACCAGCACTTCCCGCAGGTGAATTGTCTCGCCGTCATCCGCTACGGTTTTCTGTTCATAGACCAGGTGCGATTCGAATTCCTCAAAGGCCGCCGGGTACCCTGGACATCGGTGCAGCCAAGCAGAGGACTCACCAGGTTTGTACTGTTACCAAATTAGTGCTGTGTACCCTTCGGCCCCTTCATTTGGCTCACCGGCAGCCTTCTCGAACTCCGTCTTCATCGCCTGGATGGCCACCTCCTCGGCCCTTTGTGGCCCCGGCCCCCCCTCCTCAGTGAAGGTCGACTGTGACATTGCATGGTGGCTGGGCCTTCTGAAAGCATCATCGTTGACGTGGACGCTCGCCGCCTCCCCTTGTGGAAGGTCAAGGTCCAGGAGGCAGTCGCTGCTCTGAATCTCCTGGCTGAGAGCACGGCCCTTCTCGGCGATGAGCTCTTGAGGCCTCCCTTGGTCCACGCGTGGTTGTGTTCCGGTTGTGTTCTCGCAGTTGGGGCCGAAGAAGGTGTGCATGTCCTGCCGGAGAGCACATTGGCGCCGCCCCTCACCATTGTCGGCTGGCCGCGACCGCTCCTTTGAGTCAAAGTTGCTGGGGCTGACTCTCGGGCTGGTACTGTCACCGTCCGTCGGAAGGGGAAGGACCATGGTAGTGGAACTCATCTCAGACATCATAATGGACTATAAGAGAGGAAGTCGCGTGCGACGTCGTGCGACTGCAAAGCTTTCGTGTGCGAGCTGTGAGTGGATCGCCACGACACCTGACGAAGGGGGTTTCCGTGATGTTTGCGAAGAAAGAAGAAGCGAAACGCGGAGGAGCCGCCGGAGTCGCCTGCGGACGACAGCGATGAGTTCGCAGCAGACAGGCCCCTGTGACAGCCGAGTAACTGATTTCATCCGTTAGCGAGTCGGCGGAAGATGGGCAATAACCACACTGCGGACAGATGTGGCGCCACCATCAATGACGAGTCACTCGATTTCCTCCACAAAGCCGACAGGGACGCCCTCCACACGTATGCGAAGCACAAGCACTGCACGAGCAAGGAAAGCGACAACCTGAGAGCCCCATAGGCACACTTGGAGCTGTGTGATGTCTGCGTGTACAATTGTGTGTGCAGCCGGTTTGAGGTCGGCAGCCTCAGGGCCACGGCGCATTTCCTCTGGGAAGTCGACTTCTCGCCATATGTCCTCCGCACCCGACTCAATCGCTGCCTCGTGGCCAAGGGACTGCACACCATCATCGCATTTGACACTCAGCTGGACCGCCACCTGCTGCTGAAGGCCATCTGGCTGGTGGACACGCAGCAGTGGACCGAGGTGGCCAACGCGCTGAAGTTGGCGCTGCAGTGCGGCTTCCGCACTCTGCCCATCACCATGAGTGTGCAGGACATCCAGAGGCACACCACCAAACAGGTGGGCGGGACGGAGGGGACAGGGGAGGAGGGATGGGTGGTTCAGAGGGTGTGTCTGTTGTTGCAGGCGTATTTGGCCGAGCCGCGTGTTCTGGCGATGTGGAAGATGATCGGTCGGCACGTCAACTTCGGCGGCAACTACTGCCGTTTTGAGCTGTTCGACCAGCCGGGCGGCGGTGTGCGGGCTATCAAGGACGAGCCGGACTTCGAGCTGACCATCAACCCCCCCCTCCCCGCCACCCACCCATACCACCCTCACATCATCAACGACAAACCCCCCTGTCAGATCCTCAATCGACCTGCAGGGGGACAGCTGGACGGCCGGTAGTGAGGTGGCCACTGTTGCGTCGGTGTCGGCGTTCTTCATGAACATGATCATGTGGGGCCCTCCACCGGTCAATGAGGGCCAAACTCCTTGGGTTCCCGTGGACCGGTACGCAGGACACACCGACAGTACATCCATCCGAATGAGTATCTGCTCTCTGTGTGGTTCTTTAGGTATGCTCACGGTGGTGTGCTGGACGGCCTCCTGGACCACTCGCCCCACCAGCCGCCCGACCGATGCACAGCCGTCGTAGCGTTGAGGTGGGACGATGAAGATCCCCCTGCAGAGCATCGGTGTCTGCTTCTGACGTCGTTCGACATGCCATTCGTCGCATGGGTCGGTCTCGGCAGCCGTGTTTATGTCGACATGAACACAGGCAAGAAAGGGATAGCAGATCTTCTGCTGATTGTTGAGCCATATTGTTTGACGTGTGCTATGTTGATGCCTGCAGTGGTCGTCCGTGTCGTCACCGCTGAGCCACCAGTGGGTGGTGCATCTGATGACCTCAAGGACCGCCGGCCCACTACCGCCCCTCTGGTGCGCGGCCTGCTGGGCATCGCCATCGCAGACATGGCGCTCAGCCAACAGGAAGAAGAGGAAGACGATGAGGGTGAGTATGTAGCCGGCCATCTCGTCTCTGTGTGTCGGACAAATCGGTGTGTGTGTGTGTGTGTGTGGTGCAGAGGACGGCGCGGACGATGATGGTGACGATGACGGCCTTAGCGATGAGGGTGAGAGGTGGGGATGTGTGTGTGCGTATGTCGTTGGGCTCATTCGTATGTCTGCGATGTGTGTGTGTGTGTGTGTGTGTGCAGATATGGATAGCAATGGCGACGACGACGAGGAGGAGGAGGAGGAGGAGGAGGGTGCGCCAGATCAGAGTGACACACACGCATTCAATGTGTGCCTTATGGATGGATGGACATGGATGTGTCAGATGAGGGTGTGGAGAGGGAGGCGGAGAGAAGGAGGACCGCAGCGTGATCGAGGGGGTCTCACGTGCCGGCAGAGTGTGGTGTGGGTGGTGCACTGATTGAGGATGGACAGGGGGACAACCGTAGAAGTGTGCACAGACAGCGAGCGGCCCCCCCTGACGCATCCATGCAGTTTTGACAAACATCGTACGTTGGCATTGATGTGTTCATGTGTGTGACGAACCCTTTTTGTGTGTGCATACGAACGGTTTGATTAGCGGTGGGTGGAACGGCTCTCCGTTTTGTTTTCTGTGTCCACATCAGATCGGTGTGGATGACTGGACGGGTTGAGACAGCCATTGACCTGACCCATGAGTGGACGCATCAATCACGTGTGTGTGTATATTGCCTGTCGGCAATCAAGTGTTCGTCTCTCCTGACTAAACCACTCAAACACACTCACACTCACTCTCACCCACGACCATCGTTTCTTCTGCAGAGGTCACCGACATACTCACCCGACCGATAGATATCGATCGCATCGACAGAGCGGTCATATACAAATGCGATATATGTATATTTGTGTGTGTGTACGTGTGCAGACAGACAGACATCGGTATACATATGTACATATGTGCACTCACACGGATCGACCGATCGATCGGTATGTGTACGCACACATAAATTTAAACAGACCAACAGCCAATCTCGGCCTTGCTTGGAGACACACCGACACACCGACACACCGACACACCGATCGACACAAAACAAAACCACACCAGCGCAACGCTGACCTGTCTGACCATGGCCATGGCTCCCCCCCTCAATCGAGCCACCAAAACACACTTACATGCAGTCGTGTCTGTCTTGTCTGAGCATGTGCCTCCGTCGTGAGACGCACGTCGATGCTCATCGTGCTGGGCGGCTGTTCGTGTATCTGTCGCAGAGGCGTGACCTCATCCCTGGCCTGGTGTCTCGAGCTAAGACACCATGGATCAGGTGGCGGCCGGCTCGTTGACACACGAAGAATGAACGACACACGCAGACAGACAGACAGACAGACAGAATGGATGGATTGAATGAAATGAGTGAGTGTCAGGAATTTTCTGATTGATTGTCAAGTGACGAGGCCTCAGTGGATAAAGGTTGACACGCACACACATGATCGTGTCTGCACATGGACACGAATTCGTCATAAGGCCGTCATGCTGTCGGGTCTGAGTCAGCCGCTATCAAGCTAACTACACACTGCGGCCATCCATCAAGCTGCAGCAAGGCTCCTCCTCCCTCCGTCTACACATACCACCTGAAACACACACACACACACACACACAGAGAGAGAGAGAGAAGCGTCGGCTTGCCTCCTGTGTGTGATGCTGTGTGCTGCAGTGTTGTGTGGTCTCACCCTCCCTTGGCCGCTGTCTACGTGTGCTGTCAGATCGGTTCAGCCGCTCACCACCTGCACACAGAACACATGCAGCAGTGCTGTCCACAGCCAGCCAACGATATGTGCCCTCCGTTACCCTCACCCACCCACCTGCCAGATTTCCATCTCATCGCACGTGAAGTTCAGGGACTGTGCCAATGTGCCCTCGCCATGCTCGTTGGTCGCCCCGTTGTATCCCGCCGGAAGGTGCTCCCGCGCGATCCACTGCTGGCAGCTGCTGAGGTTGGCCGCCGGACCTGGCTGGGCGAATCCCAGCCAGAGAGAGCCGCGACCGATGTACACGTTCCCACACGGCTCGCCATTGCGGTTGGTCACCGCCCCCTGTGTGCCGGCCACCGCCACTGACTGCCTCTCCTCGGGGATCTCGATCTTGGTCGGCGTCTCGTACGCACCCGACAGCGAGAAGAAGAAGGCGGGCGCCTTGTAGAGGTTGCTCTTTGTGTTGTCCTCGGGCGGGTCGATCTCTCCGTCGATGAAGGCCCCGAATCGGTGTGTGTGGCCATCTCGGAGGGCGAAGAGCAGGCCGCTCTTGTCGGCCAGACACTCGAGCATCTTGGGGAAGGCATACGTGTCGCGACTACCCCTGATGGACACACAGAAGGACAATGTGGTCTCGTCCTGTCGTCTGCCTGTGCTGCAGCTCACTTGTACAGCAGCGATGGCGGCGTTGCGATTTTCTTGTCGCGTGTGGCGCGTGAGTGCTGCAGCTCACTTGTACAGCAGCGATGGCGGCGTTGCGATTTTCTTGTCGGTCATCTTCATCACCGCCAGCCACTCGTCGGCCGTCTTGATCACAGCGGACGCCCCCGCCGCCTCACCGACTGGCGGCATCGTGTTGAGGCCGTACATGCCCAGCTCGACGACGAACATCTCCTTCTCGTGCGGCGCCACCACCGGCGGATGCACAAACCGGCCGGACGGCATGACCAGGCGGCGGCCGAAGTCGACGACGAGCTGCAGGAACTTGAGCGACGTCTGGTGGGCCTCCTGGTCGGGCCACTCGTCGCTGAAGAAACACACGCACACACACACACACACACACAGGCACATAGGACACCAGACAAGATCCCCAGCCTTACGGTCCTTACGGATTGTATCGCTTGACGAGTGCATGGTCTGGTCCGAGTGGTGCGATGGTGCGGCGGAGGACCGACACCTTGTCCCCACACACCGTCAGCGTCAACACCTCGATATCCTCATTGCTGCTATGCCCCTTGACGAACGGCCGCATCGCCGACAGGAAGGCCTCCATGACCTCCTTCTGCTTCTGCAGCCCCTCACGTACCCGCCGATAGTTGCTCATGTACCGCTCGGTCTTCTCAAACGCCTCATCTACTCCCACCCCATCGCCACTGCCCTCACCCTCACCACCCCCCTCGCGCCCACCCTCACCACCGTTGCCGTCGGCCATCTCCACATCCTGCTGCTCGCCTCGCCCTCCAGCCGCCGCCGCTGCTGCTGCTGTCGATGCACCAGGCGCCCACCGCTGCCCCTGTATGTCGCCGCCCAGCTTCTTTGTGATGAACAGCGAATGGTACTCGGCATACGATGGGTCGCCGGCCTCTGGCGAATGGAGGGTGATCTCGTCGAGGTGGCGGCTCTCCAGGAGCGCCAGCTGGTCGCGCAGCCATTTGAAGTAGGGTGCATGCATCTCGAGGAATGGCAGCTGATTGGCGTCCTTGGGTAGCTGGTCGTTGAAGTGCAGCAGCAGCGTCGAGAGGTAAGTCATCTTCATCTTGGGATGCAGGAGTCCTGTCACGGCAATCTCAAAGACCCGCCCGCCCACGTTGAGCTGCATCTTGCCGCTCGTCTGCTGCGGTTCGATGGTGCCTCCGTTGTCTGTGATCAGCTGCTTGATCTCGCCCGCCAGCTGCTCCAGCTCCTTGTCGGCCTTGGATGCCGTCGTCGTGAACACCTCTTTCAGGCCGTCGACGTATCCGGCGGCCTCCTTGAGCAGCTCATCACCCTCCTCCCGACCGCATGTGACGGAGTGCAGCTGCGATGGGGCGGTGGCGGACTCACCACCGGCTGCTCCATCGTTGTTCTTCCGTTTCTTTGGCGCCATTCGTCACCGATGGCGGTGAGGCGGGCAAACCCTACACCCTAAACCCTAGACCCTCTGCTTCTGGAGGCTTTTTCCCATTGACAGGGGGGCGGGGCGGCGGCTGACGTGCTGATGGGGCCAAACACTAGTTATGCGTTTGCGTCTTTGATGAGTGCGCGTGTCCAGGAGTGCGCAGCAGACAGAGAGACAGGCACACTCACACACATTCATGTGCAATGCAAAGGGGTGGGCTCCCTGTGCACATCACAGTGATGTGCGCATGGGGTCGGTGGGAATGACTGGACGGATTGAGACAGTCGTTGACCTCATCCATGGGTGCATAGCATCAATCACGTGTATGTGTAAATTGCCTGTCGGCAATCAAGTGTCCGTCTCTCCTGACTAAACCACTCACACCCACACTCACCCACGACCATCGTTTCTTCTGCAGAGGTCACCGACATACTCACCCGACCGATTGAATCGACAGAGAGCGGTCATATACAAATATGTATATATGTGTGTGTGTGGAGACAGACACACATCGGTATATATGGGGAAAAAGCCTCAACCAGATATGGACTCGGACACACACACCACAAACCGCACACACATCACCGCAGAAAGAGAGAGGGCACTCCCACGAATCGGCCGACCGATCGACACATACAGACGCACATACGCATAAACACACCAGCAGTCAATCTCTCTGCCTCACTTACAGACACACACACCGACACCGACCGACACAAAACCACACCGCACCAAAGCCGCCCACAGTCTCTCTCACAGCGGACGGATCTCATACTTGTCTGGGCCAACATCACGAGCACCAGATGGTGCCGATTTCCGCACAAAGTCCATCGGGTCACTCGCATCTCGCCTCTTGTGGCCGTCTGCCGTTTTCTCTGCCCGATAAATGGCGCTCCTGAGCGCGGCGCTGATCTCCTCCGGTGTGGGCACTGGCGGCTCGTCTGCTGCCTTTGCACTGGCAGTGGCGGCCTTGTGGTCCTCCTCCTGGAGCTTCTTCCAGTCGATGTCAGGCGCTGAGCCGCCTGCATGGGATAAGCACAACGTCATGATGTGTAGAGGTGTGTGTGCTGAGTTGGCTAAGGGGCTGACCTTTCCCTCCGAGAAATCCCTGCCAGTCGAACTTGCTCGACCCTAACCGGGCAGCTGACGAACACCCGCGTGTGTGGGTGTGGGTCGGTGTGGGTGTGCCCATGTCGGCCTGCTGACCTTCTGCCTCTGTTCGGTTGACTTGCGTGGCGTTGACACAGTTGCCGTCGACACACACGGCGTCGGGCGGACAGCTCACCCACCGGCACTTAAAGTTGACAGCCTGCATTCACACGCACACACATCCCTCTGCTGCTGTGTGTGTGCGGCTGTGAATGTGTTAAGTTGGGGAATAAGCAGGGTTGTGTTGTGTTGTGTTAGGCACATCGTCGGGTGTGAGTGGCTGTGCCCTGCAGTTGCCGAAGACGCAGTGCGGCCGGTCCTTGGGGCAGGTGACGAACTTGCAGTACATCTCGTTGTTGTTCACGAAGGCGCCCTGCCAGCCACTGCTGTCTGCACACACACACACACACACACACAGAGAGAGAGAGAGAGAGATGCACACCACAATTGCATCTCATGCTGTCTGTCCATCTCTGTGTGTCTGCCCGTGACCGCACTTGTGTCCATCCAGTCGGTAAAGGACTGCCAGTCGAAGTACTGCCCGCCCTGCCTCTGCACATTGGCCGCCGGCGACGTCGTCTCGTCCATCTTGCTCATCTTGCCCCCAGACGGCGTCTGGCTCGGCACAAAGTGCTGCCAATCCCCACCAGACACGCCCAGAAGACTCGTCGGCTGCACACTTGCTGAACAAAACAATGCCATCCATCAGCACACAGGGGGTGTGTTGGGCTGGAAAGGGTCTCACGTCACAACGCACCTTTGGTTGCCCGTGGATCAGCGGCATACTTGCTCCAGTCGTAGAAAGACCGCCCCTGCTGCTGCCCACCCATCTCCCCCCCACCACTGGCAGCCGGTCCCATCCCCCCGCTGCCCCCACCCATGTATTTCTTCCAGTCGAACGACTCAGTGGTGCCGAACGCGTCACGGTCCTCCGCACGGACGAGGGTCTCTGATTCTGGCGGCCATCCGTCTGCGTGGCGGGTGGCCTTGGCGGCTTTCCGGTAGTTCGGGGGGACGAACTGATGGATAAAAGAATGAAGGAATGATGGACACGTGTGTGGGGTGGGGGGGGG